GATTTGATTGAAAATGCTGATGTGGCCAAGAAAGGTGAAATTCATTTTCCATAGAAAATTTCACCTATCAACCACTACAAAAATTGGAAAATGGTATTGATTTTCCATTTTCCATGGAAAAGGGTGTGTTTGATAACACACCCTTAAAGCTTTTCATGGAGCTCGAGCTCACTGTGAAGACTTTTTCCAATTCAAACGAATATCCGTTTAGCGAACTTAATTTCCCACTACCAAAATCAATGACCACCTAATAGTACTTTTAATTTGACATGTGATGCACCCTAAGTCTCTCAGAATTGGCTAAAAAGGAAAGCCAAACATTAGCAGAACTTCAGTTATAGATTAAATAATCAATTTTTTTCTTCAAAGAGATGACAACCTGCCCAAGGGCCAAACTCTTCATTGATTATGCACTAGGATGTCTCATGTCTTTTAAGTTCATGCTAGTTTGACAATCCTTTTCAGCGTCAAAAGTAGTTTCAGCCCCAGGCCAACCGCCTACCCTTCATAGGATATCTACCATAATGGAGCCATAAATACACTAATCTGCCATATCTTGCTTATAGAAACAGTGTAGTGTGGTTTTGTTAACCAAATACCCACCCATGACTCACCTTGTCAAATGAGTCTTTCCCATTTCCATTTGCTTGCTGCGTGGTATCACATCGCCCCAAAGGCATTTCAAATTTTCAACTCCAAGCAACCCCGTGATGGACTAATCACATTAAGAGCTACCGAATAGAGTGTTATGATTGTTAATGCAACAAAGTTGGGGCAAAATCTCTGTGATTTTAAACAAATCATATGTCCTAATGAATTATGCAGTTAGGACCAACTTATGAGCAGAGAGGGATGCGGAAAACAAGTTAGATAATGCTGCCATGAATAGAAAACACTTGTATAAGTATAAATTGAGATTTTAGGCACAACAGACTACCATATGATCATCAAGGGAAGACAGTTTACTAAACTTGTGTCGTGCAACAGTATAAATTTAAAATCAAGTCTATCCCATATAATATCTCCACTCAATCATCAATCTCATCTTGTAATCTTATTCGCTTAAAAGGTTCGCTGTTGTCATGCGAATATTAAGCTTTATAAAGAGAGTAAACAGCACTTTGTTTCCCCCTCCCCCAAACTTGAAATTTTTGCACAGTGGTCTCTAAATTTGACAACGAAAAAGCAGTAAAAAACCTAAAATCAACTAACATGTTGCTCTCTGCCGTCTAGTAAATATGGCATTTGAATCCTCACGTCAACAAATAATTCTTCTTTCACAGGGGAACATAGCAGCAACTGACTCAATTACTATCAGATTCTAAATGCAGGAAGGAAAAACTAAAAAACCTTATTCAGTCCAAAACTTCACAAAAGCACTGATAAATCCCTTGAGTAAGGTCAAAAGTGGATTAGGGTCTGGTGATTTCTTTGACGTCCCTTCCCACGTTTCACTGTCAACAAAGCATGCATGGCAGGATATTATTAGAGATTTGCTAAACATTAAGGACGAAACAAATGGGCAAACAAGGTCAAGAAATGTAGAAAATTATTAAAGTTTCACGTGGAGTATCAAGACTTACAGATTAATCCTGTCCAGCATGGGATTACTTTCTTTCTGAAAACTGCCATTATCTTGAACATAAGGTTTTCTTACGACAGCAGTGGACTCCTTCAGAATCGGCTGCTGGGGAGAATCACAGGCCTGCAGGGAAAAGCATGATGAGTAGGTCAATAGCTTACCAATTTCAGCACCCCCATGTGGTTATGGACCATTTCGATAATAAAAGGAAGGCTTTCTTTCAAGCGATACACTTCCACACTAATTTGGAGAATAAGTTCATTACTATTTGCCATTTATTCATATAATTGTCCAAACACAAATATTATGAACCCAAATCTAATTCTTCAGACCAATTAACTGCACAAGATTCTCTTTCTATGAGTTCAAGTTTTATTTTCAAATAAACTAGACAAGAAAATTCGAGTCCCTCAGAATAGACAAGAGACTTTAAAAGTTGATTTTTAACAGAGCCTTACCTTAGTTCCATCAGGCATCGAATCCTTTGCTTCAACATTTTTAACAATACTACCATCAAGCGTAGTGGCTTCGGCAGTTGTCACAATGTCTGAACTTCCCAAAGATGGAAGTTTTTCCTCAACCTTCCCATAAGTTAAAGCAGACAAGCTCTTAGTAAACATTATTCCCTCATGATGAGTTGCCCTATCTTCCAAGGTCCCAGATACATCGCTTAACTTGCTATCTTCTTCATCCATGTCGTGAATTCTCTTAGAAACGGCCGTTAACGGAAATGTCTCCACCAAATCCTCAGGTTTCTTATGAGACATTATGGCTTCTGATGTTTCTAGTTCTTTCACTATATCTTTCTCTCTATCCAGAATCTCTTTTGCTACCGCCTCCATGTATGTCACAGCTTTTGTTGGTTCATTTATCTGACTGCTCTTATCCAAAATTTGTTCATCACTAAGCCTCTGACTCTCTGGTTGACGAAACATCCCACTAGATAGGACAGAAGTTTCACAGGTGGTGTCTCGAGGAATGGGAATAGTATTTGCTATGGTTGGTTTATGACATTCTTGATCTTTTTCGAACATCTCGCTATCGTTGACAATTTGGTCATCCACACACTTTTGACTGTTAGATTGAGGGAAAGGCTCTGTAAAATACGATACACCTTCCGTGCTGCTATCTTGATGACAAATAGATGAGAAATACCTCATTCTGGGTTCGTCAGATCCTCCATCTTTTTCATCTGCATTGCTTAGTTCATTAACTAACGGTTTATTGTCCAATGCCACTGGCTCAGTTCCATGAAACTGCAGGTTAAAATTAAAAATGTGATCTCCACTGGTTATTTCATCTTGATTGGATGGAGCATGTTTCACAGCATTAGTTTTATCTGATAATGGCAAACCATTTTGAGGATCAAAAGAAATAGATCCTACTGGATGTTTTTCCAGAAACCGAGAGTCATCGTCTTCTGAAAACAATTTTGCTGGACCCAACACTCTATTTTCTTGAATAATCTCTCGAACGATTTCTCGCACTGTGTAGAAAGAGCCACCAACTTCTTTGTGTGTAAGATTAAGAGATGGAAAATTCCCGTTATTCGATTTCTGATACCTGGAAGCAATACAATGCCAAGTTAAATATGAACTTGCACATTAAACTTAGAAACATAGGAGCTCAATAGAAAAGGGAGAGAATAAAATGATCAAACAAATAATTGCAGCATAAGTGTCAATGCAGCAATGACAAGAGAATCCCCAAAATTTGTCGCCTCCCTCCCCCCAAAAAAATAAT